TTTTCCGCTCAGGGCCCACATCCCCAAAAATTCCGTGCAAGGAGAGGGAGCCGGGCACCCGTGGGTGGCAAGAGCAATGCCAAAGAAGTTGGGGTTTTTTTACCCCCCCTTCTCTCATTCAGAGATGGAGGCGTCACGCCTGGAGAGCATCTTGGATCGGGGCAGAGACCACTGGGGAGGGATCTCCCAAGGAGAAAAGGATGCTCTGACTCCAGGAAAGGTGCTGGATTCTCTGCTGAAGGGATCCATAACGGGAGGGATCGACTGTCCCGTCCACAGCTGGATCACCGGAATATATACACCCAGCACAGCACCTCAAACCTTCTCACAGGCGAGGCTCCACCCTAAAACAAGGGCAGCCCAATTCTGCCAGCCAGGAGGCCCTGCCTCTCGCCCTCGCCTCTGGCGATCTTTCGGAACGCTGCGGGCGACAACCCTCCTCCTGCAGCTGCCAGTGCAGAAGCACTGAGCACCCCTGGGGGGACCTCACCCCTCCCCAGAGCCCCTCTGCTGCAAACCGCATGCCCGTCTCCTTCGACAGCTGCATATCAGAAATGCAGATTGTCTGCTTTGCAAATCGTGTGGGTGCCCTCGCCTTGGGGTTCAGAGAGGTGGCGTGACGTAGCGGCATTCCTTAGCGGGTGGCATCACATCCTTCCCCAACAGCTGGCTCGGGATGCATTCCTTGGGTCCTGAGCATGGTGGGGAGAAGGGGAGACCCCGCCACCCCGACTGACGCGAAGGTCATTCACAGATGGGGGACCCCAGTGGTTTCCCCTGCCAAGGAAAGAGGGGGCCACCTCCCTGTGGCTCATTGGCTCTGCATGATGGCAACCAAGGATGGCACAGGCCAAAAGAGAAAAAAATTAGCATAGGAGTTAGCCAGAAATATTTGTGTGGGGGTGCAGAGACAGAAACAGAACAGGCCAGGCTGGTAGGGCCGCTTAACATACTCCCAGGGTTTCAGGTCATCTGAAACGTGTCAAGAGCCCGGCTGGGCAGGAATAGGACAATTTGCAGAACTGCCTCGCCCCCGTTCTCGCAAGCGAAGAGTTGTTATAAATCAGGAAGCCAGGGTGAAGAGGACAAGAGCGCCCCTGAGCATGTGCAGAGGGCCTCCCCTCCCCTCCCTCCCCAAACCTTGACATACACTCCGAAGGTTAAAGTCAGGCGTCTCCTGAATGAGCTGAATCACTGGCCCAAAGAGCCACGTTTCTCAAGCTTGGCGACTTGAAAACGGGTGGGCTTCAACTCCCAGAACGAGTGGGAAAAAAATGAGAAAATGGAGCCCGGATGAAATGACTTGCTGCTGCCCCGGTGCAAAATATTTGCCGGGGAAGAGTATTTTCAAACGTGAAGCGTCGACACGGGTTGCACGCTTTTCCAACAGAACTCAACATGCCTCCCTTGCGTGTTTTTGGAAGGCCGGTTTTTAAAAAGTTTCGTGGCTCTCAGATGCAACATTTCAGACTTTCGTTAAAAAATCAACTTCGATTTTATTCTGCAGAAGGACTGCAAAGGATCCTTCCCGTAATTCCTGCCAGGGAATTTCTGCCACGTTCTTCAAAAGGCACCTTACGATTACTATTCCATTTTCAAAATGAAACGATAACACTGCCAGCTTTCGCCGAATCCGACTCTTTTCCCATTTCTATCAGAACAGCCCAAAAGCTAACAGAAACCTCCCTCCAGGGGCAAACAGCCCCCCTTATCCCAGGAGATTACCAATGCAGAGGTAGACTGCAACTGGAACTGGAGGCTCCCCCGATCTGCCACAAACAGAGATAGGCCGCTTTCCAGGGGATGACTCGAACAGAAAGAGTGCTGCTCTTTGACCGTCCCTTCCCTCTATCGCTAAGCCTCTGCATAAAAGAGAAATGTGTGCTAAGTTTTCAAACCAGCATCTCTGACTCACCGCTTCGAATTGCACAAAAAGGACCGAGCCCCTTTTTAAAATCTGCTGGTGGCCCCAACTGGATTGCAAAAATTCGGTTGATCTATACCCGCCCCCCAATTGTTTCCTTGCGTCTTCCAGTCCTCCGTTACGTCTGAGAATACAAAACCAGAGATCTTTGTATTCGGACTTCCCAAATCCGCTCTTTTCCCCCTCGAGGCCAACTCAGAGTTAGAAATTAATTCAGTCCCTGAAGAGCCCGATCCGCCGCCTAGAGCAAGTTTTATATCGGAAGAGCGCCCTGTTTTGGGAGCTGCCCGACGCGGTCCAATGATCCCCGTTTCCTGCTTAAGCCATGTTTAAGCCTGGATCGGGTCCAGCTCTGTGCGTTTTCTGCCTTCCAAAGGTCAGGAAGCGCCCTTGACTTTGCCTGGAGGGAAAGTTGGGGGGTTTTCGACCATGCGTAAAATTATCCAGTGGGTGGGGGGAGCTTGGTCAAACACCACCGGGCTGGGACATCCTGTTTCTCGGCACAGGCTGAACCATGCGTCATATTCCCCTTCCTTGTTTCCTGCGCCCAGCCAGAAGAGAATTTGGATCTGTTTGGCGGAATGAAACACATTTTCCCGCAGGGCGTCTCCCCAACGCTTGGCTCCAGGGTTGCCAAGCCCAAGCACAGATGCCCCCTTGTGCGCCTGCTTTCTCTGCCCTGGTGCGCAAGGTCCAATCTTGTTTTGCGTGGTGGCCGTTCGGGCTTTGCGTTCCCACTCGCCCACCCTTGTGGGGATCCGGGGTTTCCAAAGAAAACTTTCTTTGTGGGTGAAAAGGCATCGGGCGTGTTTGCCAGGCGGGGAGGAGAGCGAGCAGTGTGCATCGGCAGTGGAAAGAGAAACCAAATACTTCACGTTTTCAACCAACGGGCCCTGCTCCTTCGGACCGTCCCCTCCCCACCTCCTGATTCAGCCCGTATAAAAAGCTCCCCTCGGTTCCACCTTGACGTCTTCCTTGCGAGGGATCGCTGTTGGGGTAAGTGGCGACGTGGCTGCGGGAAGCGGGCTGCCGTGCCAATTTTCTTCCCCTCTTCTGCAAAGTTTTCCGTTGTTCACAAGGGTGTGTGGCACCTGGGGGTGCTTTCCCAGTGCTTAGGAGAGACAGACAGAGACACGGGAGGTAGATGGATGGATGGAGTAAGTAGGTAGAGGAGACAGATGTGCACGCTAGACAGATACAATAGACAGATAAGCGCAATAGACAGACAGACAGATGACGGATTAAAGATAGAAGATAGATTAGTAGACAGACAGATGACAGATTAAAGATAGAAGAGAGACAGACAGATGATAGATAGATAGATAGATAGATAGATAGATAGATAGATAGATAGATAGATAGATAGATAGATAGATAGATAGATAGATGATAATGCATGACTCGCTGAACTGCATCGATTGAGGCATTAAAATTTGGCTCTGCTTTAGAAATTAGAAGACGTAAAAAGCCATGCAGTTCAATGCAATTCGAACCCTCTTTGCTGCAGAATAAACTTAAGACGGATTTCGGAGTAAATAGATGCAGGATCATACCGGCCATCTGGGAGTGGTCTGAAGTTTCCCTGTAAATCTACCATTTTTCCCCCCCTTGCCTTTGCCTCCTACTATTCCACGATAAACAGCACACCGTAGAAGGCGCAACGGTCTCCAAGATGTGACTCTTCAAAAAAGAGAGAGAGAGAGAGAGAGAGAAATGCACAGAGATGGCTTGTTCTCTAGGCGATGAGGGTAGATAGAACCTCCACCCCCAGGGGCAGTCTACCGCCTGGAAACCAGGATGCCAAAGCAAGCAGAGGGGTTTCCTTCGCACCTGGCTGAGGGGCATCTGTGAGATTTCAGACAAGCTAACACCGCCCTCATCCTCCAGAACTCAACCAGCTCAGGGCTGCAAATCGAACACGCATCCTTCGATGTCCGTTTTCTTTCCTTTAAAAGAGCCTTTTTAGCCGATTTCAAGAAGGCGAGCATGGCATTTTTGCTGCCAAATATAGGGAGGGTTGCGGGACCGAGGAACACGGAGCAAATCTCTCCCTCCCTCCCCAGAATAACACACCCAATACAGCGCTTCTCCTTCTCATTTCTGCAGCCGTCAATCTGTTCCGCATCTGTTTTTCCCCGCAAGCTTTATCCGACGCTTCCCGTGCAAAATTGAATACCGTTAGGCTATCTTTCCCAGAGGTGTCCAAGAATAGCCGAATTTCCGTTCCTTGGAAAGGGGTGGGAAGTCTGGGGGAAGGAGGGGAGGATTGCCTTTCTCCTTATTTCCAGTGACAATTTCCTTTTCAAAGCTATTTCCACTAGATGCAAGCCTGACAATTTGGTACGAGTTTCGCACACCTATCGTCATCATCACCTTCATCTCTCCTCCTCTTCCTCTTACCTTGGCAGCCTCCTTCCCCTGCCTGACCCCACATCCAGCTGAAGCAAGCGGAATCGCTTCCCCCCTTCCTTGAACGCCATGGCCAGCAGCGAACTGACCGACCTGGAGACGGCCATCGAAAAAATAGTGTGCACCTTTTTTACCTATGCCGCCCAGGAGGGCAAGAAGGGCACCCTCACCACTGGCGAGTTTAAAGAACTGGTCACCCTCCAACTCCCCAACCTCATGAAGGTGGGCACGCTGGGGGGGGAGAGACCTGGGGTGGCGGGCGAAGACTTTCCCCAAACAGATGTGGGAGGCGACACCCCGGGTGCTCTGCCTCCAAAGCCAACTGCGCCAACATGGTTTAGAAGATCCCTTCTGCCTTTGAACAGGACGGCGGGGTGGAAATGCTGGGCCCTGAATCTCCCTGGCTCCTGTGCCGTTTCTTTATGCAAAATTTCTCCCCCGCCAGCCCCCCAAAGTTGCTAGTGCTCTCAGAAAGCATGGATAACAAGGGAAATTGACCGTCGCAGGGACTGTGCGTTGATGTTTGTGGCATGGCTCGCGCAGCGGAAAAATCGAGCTTTAACCAAATCGATTTTCACCAAGAGCTCGGCTGCTGCTTAGAATAGGAACTGGAATGGAATGGAGCAATTCGGAAAGGGTTAGGTTGGGTGGCCGGCACCGCCAGTTTCTCTATTACAGTCCTTGCTTTGAAACAGTGCTTCCCAAACTGATGGCCCTCTCAATGGGTTGGATAACCACTCCCATTGTATCCAACTAGGATGGCCAACCCCATCGCCATCTAGATTCCACTGTTCTGTCTCTTGAAGGGATCAACCAGAGCATTTATCTCCCCGGATCTAATATGTGTAGCGTAGGTGTTCCTTGGTAAGGGCAAGGATTTTGCCAAACTGTACCCCAGCCCGTGACTTTCCTCTTTTCCCCCTCTGTGTCTCTTTTGAAGAACGTCGGGGACCTCGACGAGAAGATGAGAGCCCTCGACGTCAACAACGATGAGGAGCTGAAGTTCGGAGAATATTGGCGCCTCATTGGAGAACTAGCAAAGGAGATCAAGAGGGAGAAAGTGGGGAAGAAGAAGTGATTGGGAGGTGCGGGTGTGGGTGTGTGTACGGGGATGTGTGTGTCAAGGTGGGGGGGATTTTCAGATGGAGGGATGGGACCAGGAAATCATCACCGTGCGCATCAGCAGAAGCACATGAGCGCATCAAGAGTCATAAACCATCTATGGGCTTCCAACTTTCAAATAAAAGTCTTCATTCCAGAACGGTGGCTTTCAGGACTTGATGGGCAGCCTGGAAAGAAAGGTGTGGGTGGATGTGGGGCCACGTGCATGTGCAAGAGAAATGGGTTGCAGATAGCTGCTGAAGCAAACCCAAGACTTGGGGTCCAGGAACGCTGCTGTCCTGTTTGAGGTTTCCAACTCACATACACACCATAGGAAGATGAGTAGATGGGGACAGGAAGGTAAATCAAAACAGAGTCTCGGAAAGAAAGCTTCAGACTCTTAACTCAATCTGGAAGATCTTTCTGGTGGTCTTCTCAACATTTGGGAGACTTCAAGAAAGGGCCCTAATGAGTCACCTGACGTTCTTCATGAACTGAGTAACAGAGGGTCATTCCCTCAACAGCCTAAATCCTGTGGACCCCAAAAATGCCCCAGTTGGCAGGGACAATGTCTGCCCACTTGGGTTAGGACCTTATAAATCTATAGACTCCTGGTTCAGAATCCTGGCAGCTCTTGATAAACTACATGGCTACGCTTTAATTTAGTCATTTCTCCTCTGAGGTCATGCAAAGCTATCTCCAGCAGATGGGCCAGGAGGGGGAAAAGGAATTTGGTGCACTTCATCGCAGAGAGGTTGCAAAAAAGTGGTACATCTAGTAGCAAGGGGGTGGGGGTTGAAGCTACATCTTCCAATTAGGACTCAACCAAGTCAAGAACACCCTTTGAAAGTCCTCCTGGTCTCTCCTTCTCCTTGTCTTGACCACCTTTCTTCAACATGAGCTCATCCAAGCCTAGAGGGTTCGGTCCTATCTCTGCAGGGCTACTCTGTCATGACTTTTTGGTCCTGGTGATCTCCCTTCTGAGTCTTTCTCCTGATCTTGATCCATCCTGCAGATCCATCCTGGCCAAGATGGCCCTTTTGTTCTCTGGGAGCTCTCCCTGGTCCTGAAATGATTGTCCCTGGACAGCCACCATAGCCAAAGAGCATAGACAACCCCAGGCAGATAGAACCAGAGATGGTTGTGAGATAAGACAGATTCCTTTATAGTCCTTCCTCCAAGAGAACTCATGAGACCTTGAACGTGGCCTTCTTCTTCAGAAAGATAACCTCCTTTCCTCCTCAGATCCCTGACATGTCCCGGAAGGCCCCCCACAAGACCCTTAGATGAAACCCATAAGATATAAACCCAACCACCGTTAGCAGGACAGGGTGAGAAGGCCCAACCAGATGCCCCAGGAGAAACTAGGTCCTCATCTTCACTGCGCTTTGCCCCATAAGTCTTGCCTTGGCCCTCAATAGTGTGTGTTTTCAATGCTAGCCTGGGAACAGAGCAACTCCTCCCACCAGGCTGGGCGGGCAGGGCTTCCCAGAATACTCCAACTCCTGGAAGGCTGCTGAGATGCCTCCACCCCTTGGGAGAGCAGCGAAGCCAGAGACCAGCTTGACAAGTAATAAGGTGAGGATCTGGCTCCCGTCCAGGAATGAGAGCTGTTCCTGCAACTATGCCGGAAATGAAGCACCTCAGTTCCTACCACGCGCGTTGGATACGGAGAGGGCTCTGGCAGGGTGAAGTATGCGCCCAGGAATTTAGTCTGCAGGGTGTTGATCTGTCACAGCCGGTGACTATGGAGACGGGATTAGCTGCTAAAATGACACTGTGCTCGATCCCAAACTTTGTGCAGGAGACAGAGAGAAAGAAAGAGAGAAGTAAATGCCTTAAATCCATAAGTAAATAATGAGTTGCTAAACCTTCCACCCATGGTTTTAAATGATGGCTTGTGATCTGTCCCACAGTTATATGATGGGTGCACCATTCCGTTCCAAAGCTATAGCTGGGGGTGAGGAGGGAGATTTAGGGGACCCCCAAACAACTCAGTGAGGGGGCACAGACTGAGGACAGAAGTGTTACACTGGAAGGTAGATAGTGGAGGTAGAATAACTATCCAGAGAAGACAACTCTTCATGTCGGGTCAGTTCACAACGAAGTCCAAAAGTCAGACTCTGATAAAGACTGCTAGGCAAGCAAAGTCAGAGACCCAATAAACAAATATTATTTAGGAAGGTGGAGTGGAGAGCTTTCAACACTGGCCTGTCCAAACTTTGCTTACAGCCCAGCTACTAGAACCTGGAGATGCCCTTCTATAAGTAGGACCTTCTTGAGAACTTCCAAGAAGGGCTGCTTTTCAGATGCCGACTTCTTTGCCTGGGAACAGATCTCACTCCCTCGTTCGTCAATGCTCCTGAGGGATCTCCCTGCCATCCTCAAAGCTGGGAGACCTCTCTAAAGGAGTCCTGTCCAATCTCAAGCACTCTAGGAGTCACGAACGTCTCCTAGAAGCTTCCTCCAAAGGTCTCAGAAGGGTGAGCAGAGCATCCAGCTGTCCTCGAAAAAGACGCAGCGTCCCGAAATCTCGAACCAAGACTTTTCATGGTGCAAACGTGGTTGCAGGTACCCCACAGTGGCAGGAGGGGAAACGGTCCTTCCTCTCAATTTATCAGAAGTCAACGAGGAGGACTGGCGAATCTGGACAACGGGGGGAGGGAGGGAGGAAGATCGCTTCCAAACAGGCCGTCCAGGTGGTTCATCCTCCAGCTGTGACTAAGGACTGAGAAATGGGTGGCACCTGAGCATTCTTCTGGCGGAGGGCCAGTCAGAGCAACAAGAACCATTGCACCACAGTTGCAACCCCCTGCTTCTTCCATAAGGTGTCTCTCGGACACACCTTTCCGGAGGTATAAAACCGTGGCAGAGAGACAGCCCACAGCAGCACATCCAATTCCTCGGCGCAGGTAAGTCGGCCTTCCGTTTTGCGGTCCCTTCCCCAAAGCGAGAAGGGGAGAATTGGGGGGAGGAGAATGTCTTCCCTTCCTTTCCAGATCTTCTTTGCAAATCCCCCCCCCCTTTTTCTTATTCTCTGAACCTCTTCAGTTGGGCAAGTTCGGGCAACTTGCAAGCCTCCCCTCCCTTTCCCAAGCAGCTCAGGAAGATCACAGAGGGTGGGAACGGCTTCGTTTTGAAAGCAGAGACAGAAGCCGATGGAGACTTTTTTTAAAAAGGCCTTTTTGCTCTTCTGCTGCCTGTGATAGGACCCCACTTTTCTGAGCCTCTGAACCTGGGAGCGACTCATCCGAGCTCGAGGAACCGACCGCCGCCATTGCATCTGAAGGGGGAATTTTGCCCAGACACCAAGGAACCGATCTGTACGAAGAAAGATGGGTTGTCGGTGTTGCAAGAAGCGAAAGGTGAATGAGAAATGGGGTGGGTGGATGGGTTTTTTCCCCCTGGGGAAGAGGGAGGAAAAGTTTAGAAGCCCTTCTGGATGGAGGAAGATGTGCATAATTTGGGGAGGGTCTTGAGATGCAACTGGGGGGGGGAATCACTAGGCATGAACTTGAGAGAAGGAAAGATCTTCTCCGCGTCATATGCGATAGGCCGTCCAACTTCGGTTGGGTTCATTGCTCCCATTCCAGAACGGGGACTCAAAATCCTAAGAAAAGAGATCGAGGGAACGGATAAATTTCATCTTCAGGAGAGGAAACTGGACAGAGATGGTGGCACCTTTCCAAACCCTGGTGGGGAATCGTTTAGAAGAAAACTCTAAATCTTTTCTCTATCGTCCCCGGATAGAACATGCTGCTAAGAGCCTTCCGTGGCAGGAAGGCCGATTCCAGTGAAAAATTAGGGAAAATCACCAAAGGATAAGAGCAGTTTAGCACTGGAGGTGCCCCCCCCTTTGCCAAAAGCTAGAAATTTGCTAGGGATGTTCCAGTTGGGTGGCCTACACGGAGCACAGAGGCCTTTGCAAAGCTACGGTTCTCAAGACAACCTCTTCCAGGGCAACCATCTTCTCACAATAATTGAATGGGTTGGACCGAACCAACTTTTCCCGGGTCTGTAAAACACGGGCTCATGCAGAAAACCTATCTGTGTGGTCGCTCGGAGTCGAAAACGACCAGATGGCACGTAAGACATCAGCACGGGGGCCTACGAAGAGTGCCACCATGTTCTTTTTCTCCTGAGCCAGGCTGAAATGCCCGAGCTAGAATACGTTGGCACGCGTTATTTCCAGCACGATTCAAAAATATTGCCAAGTCCAGCGCCGAGTCAGAGTCGATCTCTGGGGCAGCCCACAAGAAGAAGAAAAAGGGAATCGGGTTATGGAAACTTCGGACGCCACTCGATCGGGAATACATTGGAATTAAATACGGATGGCATCTGGGATTCGAAATCATTAGCCAGCCACGCAGCCGCAGTCTTCTGCCCGCCCCGCCCCGATGGCTGCCTTTAAATTCAGCGTGGAACCTACCACGATAAAAATGGCTCAGCTGCTGGAAAAATGAGGCTGGAGCCAAGGACACGCCTTGACGCATCTCTCTCTCTGTAGCATCCAAGCAAGTTCTTCCAGCCAACAGTTTTTAAAACTCTTTCTTCGGCGAATTCGCCAGAGCAGCGCGGCCCACCAGGCAGAATTTTCAGGCTCCGAGAACGACGGTTAACGTTCGGAAAGAGCCGCGTCTCGCTGGGGAGAAAACGTCAAAGAGAATCCAGATGTTGTGTTTACTCCGACTTTAATTTCAGGGAGATTTTTTCCTCCCCCCCCCCCAGCAGGGCACGCTATAAAAAAGATTCTTCTTAAATAAAAACATTCTTGTTCAATACCAGAAAAATTTGGAGCGCTCCAAATATCGGAGGGGGCTATTTCTGGCACCCTCGGCCACCGTGGTCATCGGTGCTAATCTCAATCCTCAAGTCTATTATATTCTTTGCTTTAAATCCTGGGAAAGTTAATCAGGATGGTGTTGGAAACTTTTATACTTCAGATTCATCCAAAACAGATTATCCCCTCTTAATTTTATCATCTGTACCAGTCTTGAATCCAACCAGAAAACTGAAATACATCATCTGATTTGGCAGATTCTACATTTAAACATTGGTAAACAAACGACGTCTGTGCTGAGGAATTTGTAAAATTTATGTTGCTTTGGAGTGGCCTGGAAGAATGAGTAATGTAGCCAAAGACACTGTTTTTATTTGGAATAACTAAAAAAAAAGGAATCGGGAAATGAAACTTTTGATGGAAGATGCTTTGAAACACAGTTTTCACTTCCTTCGTCCTACTCTTTCTCCCCAGAAAAGTCCTTTTTGCAGAATTTCTCCATGCATCTTCCCTGCCATGTTGCTCCAGCAGCTATTTTTTTCCCACAGTCCTCCCATACTGAAGCTGCAGCCAGAGCATTCTGGGAAATGCAAAATGGCCACCAATCTTTCAAAATACCGTAGCTATGGGCAAAGTTTTCTTCCATGGTCCTTAGCTGAGAACTCCTCAGTGTTTCAGGACTGGCCTTGATGCTTTAAAAAAATGAAATTCACACATTGGGTGTGTTAGGGTATCTCAAATGCAAGTATTTGGGTTTGGGACACGAACAATTCAGAACAGGAGCTAGGAGAAACCAATGGATTTCATCATGAGATGTAAAGGATCTGGCCTTGATTTCACTTTGGGCCAAATCTGGATTTAAGAACTCCTTCTTCAACAAACCCACCTTCCATCCTGTTGCAACAGCTCCTTTCTTGTAATGCATCCAGACTGGTATTAAACCAAAGTTAAAAAAAAAAAAAAATGGAACACCCCCATGGTTTTGGATGACCAGCTCAGAGGAAACACCCTTCCTTTGGGAAGAGGGACAAAAATCGATCGGTCCTACAAAGTTTGAACGTCTCTTAGAAAGATGTTCAGAATATTTAGGATTGCTTTTCGGCCGTGATACTTGGGTGCTTCTCAGCTTCCTTGCAAAAACTGAAAAGGAGGAAGCTGAAAGTCAGAAGGGATTATCTGCCCAGGCACCCTCTCGGGTCGACGGGCTTCGCTTGGTTTGTTGGGTCTCCGTCAAGAGTCCTACCTTGCTCTCCTAGGCCAGGGAATTATGTTTTCTCTACTAAGAGAAGAGGCCGAGGTAGAAACCATGCCCTAGACTTTGGTGTAAAAAGTTTGGACGCGTTAATGAGTTGGGTGTTTCGGGGAGGGTGCAGTTGTGTGGGAAGGAGACCGGCTGGTTGGACAACTTTGAGGAGATCGCAGGATTGCGCTGCTGGGTTGAATCTCACCCATCTTCTCCATCCTCGCCCGTCTTCTCTTCCCCCCCATCTCCCGCCTGCTACAGGACAGCCAAGAACTCACCGACGTCGAGCGGGCCATTGAAATTGTCATCAACAACTTCCACTGTTACGCCGTCAAGGGCCGTAAAGAGTGTCTGACGCCCAACGAACTGAAAGACCTGGTCGGACAGAGGCTGCCGCATTTAGCCAAGGTAAGACGGTGGACGGGACCGCCGAGCTGCACGGCTTCGAAGAACGGATCGGGGCGCAGACAACCCCCGAAAGAGGCTGCTTGGCTGATTAAAATCTTGCTGAAAGTCTTCCAGGCTCCTCTGAAAGGAACGAGGGAGGTCTGAAGTCTGCTCGGCAGAAATTCCCATGTTTGGGGCCACCCCCAAAAAAGCCCTCACTTGCATTTTCTTTATGTTGCAAGGATCTCCTTTTGCAAATTAAAAGAAACCGTTTTCTTACCAGCTTTTTCTGCTGGGGTAAAAATCCAGATGGTGTTTCGAGGCAAAAATCCAGGTTGCGTTTCGAGAGAGTCAAATCTAGTCTGCATTTTAATGCAAACGTCCAGTTTGCATGAGGGCAGACCTTTAGTGGGCAAGCTTCTTTAACTTTATATTTTATATTTCCCAATGGTTTAGTTTAGTTCAGTTATGTTTTCAAATGGATTGATTATGTGCCACTGAGTTAATGTCGTCTCTTAGCAACTATAAAGATAGATTTTATTCCAGGACTTCAAAGCAATACATAAACTAAATCTGTTATGCTTTGACAATGGGCCGGTCTCTAGATTTTGCTGGTCAAAATGTGCCCAAGGAAGCACACCTTAAAGAACAAAAAAAGTATACAAAAATAATAAAAATGACCAAAAAAGGAAGGAAACTTGCTTGCAAAAACTTGCACCAATTAATAAGGGTCTGTAAACAACCTATTAAAAATAGATTCTATGAAGGAACTTGGCTCCCCCAAATGTCTACAACCAGCAAAGCGATTGTAAAATAAAATTTTAAAAAGGGTTTAGATCCATAAGAGTGACGTTTCTTAAAAGCAATGGGATTAAAAAATAAATAAATCTCAGAACCGGAGCCCTTTTTGGTTCCTTAACCAATAACTGGAAAAAAATAAGAAACTGGAATAAAGTCGTCCTTTTTTAAATGTTTCATCGGCTCCTTTTCCTCCGTGACAGGGCGTTGAGCCATTGGAAGAGAAGATTGAATGTCTTGGGGATAACGAAGAGGCGAAACTCCAGTTTGGAGAGTACTGGGACATAATGGGAGACGCCGCGAAAGTGTGCCGCGAGCCGAAAGGAAAGAAGTAACAGGCTGAGCTGGACCCAAAAGGCGACCTTGGACCCATTGCACAGAAGAACTGGGCGATTCCCACCTTGATCTCAATGTATTATTAATACAGTGTTAATATTTGGGGGGACTCTTCCGACCCACTCATCTTCCTATCCTAGCTCCTTCGCCTTTATGTCAAGAAACTTTCAACCAGGGAGCCAGGAGACTTCCATTCTTGAAGGGCACAGGCCGTGCCTTCTCAAATTTTAATTTTCAGAGCTCCCGACGCCAAACGCTCGAATCTTTCCAACAGTTTGGGGCTTTTTTTTTTCTTTTTCAGCTGAGCTCTGAAAACACAAAACATCCGCCGGATCCAGAATCCTTTCCATTTTCAACTCTGAAGTTGGCAGCATTTCATCCCAGGACCTTGCCAGTTCTCCACATCTTTTTTTCCCCAACAACTCAGAGCTTTGCTTTGAAAAGAAAAAACTTCCCATTTTCAAAGCTGTCCCTTTGCATCACAGATGTCTGAAACGTTCGGTCCCGTAGAGAAAGATGCACATAGAATTTTATATTTCCCTGCCAAAAATCGGAAAGCCATAAATTGCATTTAAAAGTTTGATTTCCCCAGTTTGTTTCTTTGCTCGCTTTTCATTCTCGAAGTCAATTCCTCCCCATTTCCCTTTACAAGAAAGTAGGTAGTTACATTTGTCAGCGTTCCCATTTGCCAACAGAGATGTCCCTTTCCTAACGAGTTTTGCTCGAAAGCTTCCTCATTTACCATCTTTTACCAGCCACAGGGTTTAGAAAGAGGAGAAAAGTTGAGCCGCAAACAGTTGAGGAAGAAGAAAAGTGATGGATCCAAAGCTGGGTGGGTGGGTTTAGGCAAAGGCCAAGCGCTCAGAGGATTTCAACACAAAAAAAAAAATCACCACTTCGATCAATGGAAGCTTCTTAAAGATATAAATCCTAGTTTATGTGCCTCCAGCAAGGGGGTAACCTACGTAGGGGTTGGAGAAATCCAGAATCACAGAATTGGAGGGTCCACCAAAGATCATCTAGTCCAACCCACTGATGCAATAGCCTTTCCCCGAGCCCCTGGCAGATGTTTGCCCCCAACTTACCCTCCCTCCTTGTTGCCAACCTATTATTTCTGGCTCCTCTTTCATTTGAGAGCGCAAGACAAGGGGCTGATCGGATGGGGAAATTCCCCTTCCTTCACTCCCGACAGGGAATACTTGGAAAAATAAAAATAAATAGTCTTCGGAGGGCACGTTTGGAGAAGGAGAGACGATCCTCTTGCAAGTCCGAAAGGAAGGACTGTCACCCCCCGCTGCAAAATTGGGTCCTAAATTGAGGGATCTAAATTCCCACCGCCGCATCAACCGGGTGGTTGCCCTGGGAGGAATCAGTGGTGGTCTGAACACGTCAGACTGGTTATTGCTAGGGGGTTGAGTGGGGTGGGGACCCTCCAAGACAACCCACAAAAGTTTGCTGGGGGTGGCGGGGGGCAAATTAACTCCCCGGGGTCCTGCTCCAAACTCAACCCGTTTGCTCCTCTTCAAAGCCGCCAAGCAGATCCGTCAACTGTCCGAGACCGACCCCAGAGGTCAAGCCCAAACCACCAACGTTAACCCCCACTTTTCCTGTCCCACCCCATTGGGCAGGTAGACCGGCTCCTAGCTGACGTCCTGCCTCCGTAGCTTTTCATTTCTGGTTTTTTTTTTTTGTATTGATGGACAAAATAAAACCCAAATCCATACCTCGACTCGTTCTCCGTGTCCTGATTTCCTGGAAGGGAAGGGTTGGGGCCGGGCGGCAGGTTGAAGAGCAGAAGGTAGGCTCTTGCAAAGGCCCTCTGCGCGGGTTCAGAGGCAGAGGCTGGGCCCAGGTAGACAGCCCCTGCATATGGAGGTCTTATTCCACCATCAAACGGGACGAATCGTTCGCCTTGCCCAAGCTCACCTTGTGGCAAACTCTTAAAGACAGGATCTATTTATTAAACCATTGCTATGCCTATTGACCATTTCTGCACTTCTGTGGCCCCTGTTAAACCAGTGTTTCTCAACCTTGACCACCTGAAGATGCGTGGACTTCAGTTCCCAGAATTCCCCAGCCAGCATGCTGGCTGGGGAATTCTCGGAGTTGAAGTCCACGCATCTTCAGGTGGCCAAGGTTGAGAAACACTGTCTTCAACCAACCCTTCCACAAGACCCCCTTGGCCCCAAGAGTTACGGAAGCCAACCGGGCCATCTTTGACCATCAACCCTGCGAAATAAAAGAGATCAGGGCCCATTTCGTAATGGGATGGGACGTGTTTCTTTGGCCCCATGGGAACCGGGGATAAAGCATGGCAAGGAGATGTGTTGGCTGGGTTTTAATTAGGCACGACATGCGTCATGAGATAAGAAGAGAGAGGAATTTGGGAACTGAAAGAGCTGGCTGCCAGACGCCAACTCTGACTGGGAAAAAGCTTGGCCGACAAAGAAATAATAATAATATTATTAATAATAATAATTAATATATTAACATTAAATAAATATTATTATTAATTATTATTTATTATTATTATTATTTATTAAACTAGCACGGCACCCGACTCCCAGCGACTCTGGGAGGCTCACCGCAATCAAACCAAGAAATGATTTTTTAAGTTTTATTGATTTGGCCGCAAAGATGAAAGAAGGACTATGGCCTGAAGCGAGGGGTCTCGCTCTCCCTGACCAAAAAGAGGCTTAAACTCTGAAGACTTCCTTCCCCCGCAAGTGGATCCCCTCCAAAGCAGATCCACTTTTCCCCCAAAGCGGATTCCGCATTGCCCGCCTCTAAGGGCCAAATGGGCCCACCCGAAAAGCCAACCTGGATCGCCGATTCCTCTGTAGCCTCGTTGGGGATGCCAATTTCCCCGTCCCCAAGCTTTTCTAAAACCTCATGTTATCCTGTGCTTTTCTTTCAACCCCCCCCCCTCCAATTCTCCCTGCACACCTTTTTTCTAAAAACTGCCAGTTCATTTAGACGCGCTTCTTAGGGAAAAAAACGGTAGGGCTGGCAGGGGATTTGGTGCAAATTTAAGCCTGGAAAATCCCGCCCCCCGCCATGAAGACACTCGTCCCCATCAGGTTTTGCCTGTTTATCCATCCATTCATTGATTTTATGCATGCATCAATTGCCAGATCAGCCCAGCCTCCCGGCTGCTTGCAATCCAGGTGAACCCTAAAAGGATGGCGGGTTTTGCAACGCCGGGAGGAAATCGCAAGACTCCCACGCTCAGCTCCCCAAACCTGAAATCTACAAAGGCCGTAATTCAACCCCGTCAGAAACTCCTGCAGGAAACAGGCTTCCCCAGAAATCTTTTGAAAAGACACTGTCACCCGCCCGTCACATCCAGGGGCAACATCCCGGGTTTTGCTTTCGGATTCTAAAAAAAGGACCGTGACGCGGCCCGAGCAGAAACTCCGAGCGGGGTGAGCCGAGGCTGGAGGGATGGACTGCCAGCTGGGCAAGGAGGAAACGCTTTCCTCATCGACGGCCCGCGGCAAAATCGCATTCCAAGCGTGGGGAGTGGAGAACCTTTTCTTGGGGTGCTGCAAGAAAGCTTCAGCCCGCTCACGAGGAAGGCAGGCGGCTGACGAAATCATCCCGGGGTGATTCAGTCGGAGGTATTCATGAGCACGTTCCAGGAGGTTTGGGGGCGCCTCCTGGTCGTAATCAGTCGATCGGGGTGACTTCATGATGAGGATCTGGAAGGAAGCCTCGAGGAGATGAGATAATCCACGTTCTGCGCGGCGCCGATAAAATCGGATACCCTTAATTCTCTGCGCCTGCAAAACCAACTTTATCGCCTGCGTGCTTTTTCTGGATCCGGCCCCGATCTGCACCTTCAAACACCCCCTGGCTTTTGTCTGTGAATGATCAAACCATGAACCATGGGCCTATTATTAAAAAAAAAACTTTTAATCACTTTCCTGCCTCGCATTTGAGTGAAGAAAGAGGCTGAGTAACCGGTGGGCGTCCCAGGACGGGCATGCATTCCCGGGCAAATATCCTTGTTTTGCTGCAGTTTTGCAATCCTCCTGTTCGGGCCTCCGTGTTTGTTTTGGTCGGCAAGGTGTTTCCTGCCCGTTTTTTAAAAAAAAAAACCACACACCATACACCTTTCCCCTTCAGCCAGACTGACCTCATCTCCTGCCTCCTTGGAAAAAGGAGCTCAGCCAGAGGGCTGATGACACATTCCTGGCTGATGAAAAGGAAATGCTTTTTAAATTGGGGCGGGCAATTAGGCGGTGGAACTCCTCGCCACAGGATGTAGAGCGGAGCCTCCGCGTGGGAAGAGCGCCAGCCGGGAGGGCCAGCCCTCGCAGTAACGATAACAAATAGTTCATGCCAGAAATACTTCGGAGGATGGAATGCCAAGGAACTTGCTTCGGAGGTGGAAATCAATAGCATTCTTCAGCATCATCCGCTCAGCAACCTATTTGCAGATTGCAATCTTACGTACCGGATTGCAAACGTCAGGGCCAGGTCAGGGCTGCCGAGCGGATCTCGATCCGCGCCGATCGCCCCGACTCCTGGCTTCCGGTTCTTTCGCAGACTTCTGTGACTCCACGGGGAAGACTGGTTTTCGGACGAGGTCATCCTGCAAAAATCTTCAAAATTCGGTCACTCCAGGAAGGGTGTGAGAGGGGTGGATTGCGGGGGGTAGTTTCTGGCGGAGTCTTCTAGCACGGAATAAAATCTAATGTTCGCGGCAAACGCCGGTCAGCAACCACCTTTCCGCGACTGATCTGGCTGTTGTGTTGGGGCCCTGACCCCCCACTTCCCCCCGACATCCTGGGCACGGGTGAACCCTGCCTCGACAGCAGCCATTTTGTGCATGCACCCTCCAGACATTTCCGCCCACGCACGGCAAGCGTTTTGTACCTTGCGAGAACGGTCTGCGTCGCGCCCCCCTCCTTGTGCTGAGAAAGCTTTTCCGTAGCGGAGGGAAGCAAGGTCGCTGTTCCAAGCAGGCGAAGTCTGTTTAGAAAGAGATTAGAGGTGCGACTGGTGAAACGAAGAGGTTTTGGGACGGTGGTGGCAGGGGTGGCCGTGAGCCGCGCCTCGCTCGGCTTGTAAAATACAGCACCCTCATAAAAGATCGAAGATCCGTCGAACGAAGGCACTGAAAACTTCCCGGTCAGCCAGCGAGGAAGGATGATACAACGTCCCACCAGGATTTGGGGTGTAAGCTGCTCCCTAAGGCGGGTGGATAGGAAAAAAAATTAACCCCACATTTTAGATGAGAGCTGCTGTACCACGGTGCTGAGAAACAGACCCACGAAGCCCTTACGAGCCCTTTTTTTCGGAAGACGCCCTTGCAAATCGAGCCCCAGAGTTCTCCCCCCCCCCGAAAAAGGCAAACTGGTTTTAAATTCATTGTTTATTCAGCTTCCTCTAGGACACCCTTGGTTTTTACGCCCAGATGCGTTCAAAATATTTGCAGAATGTTAAACTCCATCGGAGCTCTAGGGGGCAGCAAAGAGTTGGCAGATTTAACCTGGTTCCTGCCACCCGGTGGACGTTCCCGTTCACTGCAGCCCGAATACGGTGGCTCGGTTTTGGGTTCAAACAGGCCCAAAGTAAGACAGGTAAAACCAATTATCGCAAGGCCCCAAAGTTTGGGAGCTGCAGATTCAACATCTTTGACGGGTTGCTCGGTCTCGAGAACGTTTAAAGAAAAACGGCTGTAAAAAGAGACTGAACTTGAATGCTCTAACTTGATGCCCACCTCACTGGGTCGAATTTCCGAACCGACACCCCCCGTTGCAATGATTTAAAAAGAAAAAAGGCCGCTTGGACTGCAGCAGGATTATTGGACGGAGAAAGCTGGAAAGGCAAGGAACTACCTACAGTGGAAGATGGGATTAGAAAATTAACCGAATTTGCAGAAACGGGGCAGCGGACCGAGAAAAAAAACACGAAGATCTTTTCGGAAGACCGGGAACCTCATACTGTATGGTCTTTTTCTTGAAAGAAGAAAAGAGTGAACGGATGATTTCGGGATTTGGGGATTAAGAAGGGAGGAAGAGGATGGCGAAAAGATGAAGGTGATAACTACCGGAAAGAAAGAACGGCAGAAGGCATAATTCTATGAGGTTTCCCCCCCTTCTTTCTCTGTTTCACTGCTTTTTCTCTATATCTTACTTTCTATCCCTTTGTATGTTTTGTACACCTGGATTACCCCAAAAAATCCAAATAAATAAATAAATAAATAAATAAAGTAAGTAAGTTTGCTTGGTATCCATCATATCCTTTGCCCTTTTTTTTTAGCGCATCCCTGCATTATTCCCCCCCC